TTCTAATTTGTGAAGCTCAGTTATCTTTTGCTGCACATCAGAAATATATTCTTTGTTTTTTCTCATTGTGATGGATGATTAAGGGAATTTGGGCTTTGTTTTCCCTCCTATTTATATTCCTGTTAAACAGGAAGCCATGGCTGGATAATTTCATGTTCATAATCACCCTGGTATGCTCAAAATTGTAAATATGAATGGGAATATACTTCACAGATATTTTACTCATAAGAATTTCTAGGGGTGCCAATAATTGTGTCCACTGTGTATTTGAGAAAAACATTTATTTCATAATGAGATTTTCCCCCATTTTCAATTGTTTTAGTTCAATGAAAGGTTAGATATTTGTGATTTAAAAAAAAATAAAAGATCAAAATACAGATTTATTTTCACAGCCTTCTTTGATCATATTTACCAATAATTCTGACCACGATTGTATATATGTATATATATGTATAAAAGATTATACATGAAAAATATTGTCAAGTCGCCTTTATTTGTATAGCGCTTTATAAAATACTGGTTGTGTCAAAGCAGCTTTATAGTGTTAAACAGGAAAATAGTATAGGGAAGATTACATGCAAAAATAGTCTTTTATGTAAAGGTGTAAATGTGAAAATTAAATTAAAATATCAAATACTATTACTAATAATGATACATACATACACAATCTAAAAAAGTCTGTAAAAACTACAGCCTAATGTGTAAATGTGAAGGAATTTTGTGTTTAGATTTTTTACAGGTTCTGCACATATTTTGAATGACACGTTGCATTGTGTGGTATTTTAGGGTTGAAGGAAATGTCTGCAAATTTAACACAAATGTACTAGTAATTTTCATCCAGGATATGATCGGTTTTCTATGCAATTTGTTTTTCTTACAGTGCATGCATTTTCTGTTTTGAAACGATATGTATTGTGCAAAGCGCTATGCAGATAAATTCAATTACATAGGTGTAGTACCCTAATTATTTATAGAGACATTCTTGCCTGTGTAAATTTTCCATATTGCTTTTTTGTCGTTGTTTTGTTTTATATCAACACATTTGTTTCCATTCTTTGAAGTCTGACATACTTTCAGCTAAAAGATTTTCACGTGGTGAGAGAAAATTCAAGATAGACCTGGTGAATCCGTGGGAGAATTAACCCTCAAAGTGTTGCCTCTCCCTCATTCTATTACTCTCTCAGTGTCTCTCTTTCTCTCTAACTTTTTCCAAAGTACGTCAGTCAGACCGCACATCAACAGTTTCACTACATGCATCTTCAGAAGTCATGTGATGTTGAGAAGCAGAGAAGAAGAGGAACTACCTACAGCGAGTAACTCCTGCCAACCCACTCAACCACCCACAACACTATAAATTCAAGAACAAAGACCAGAGACGGCACACGTTTACTGATCTGCTTGGAAGAGCTAAACATGAATAAGACACATTTCCTGATGGTTCTGGGGCTAGCGCTGGTTTTTGAAGGTGAGCGTGTCATTTTAGAGTACCATGAATGAGTAAAATATTGTTTTATCTCTCTCACCTCATTTTAAATTCTATCTTCTTGTAGATTTAAGTGTGCAATCTTTCTGTGTTCTGCAGGTAGTCAGTGCCAGGAACGTGAAGTGTTTGTAGCTCAGGGTTCTGTCGCAGTGCTGCCATGTGTAGACGAGACTTCTGCGATCTCACATCCTACTGCAGTCTACTGGAGCAGGATAGTTGGAAAGTAAGATAATTTCATCCATCCATCCATCCATCCATAAACACAATTATCCAAAACCTGACAATCTATTAGTCAAATATATCGGCAAAAAAGCAACAGCATTTTAATGTCTTGCTCTCTTTCTCAATATCCTAGTGTACTGAAGACGGTTTGGCGACGAGATAAGAACGGGTTAGAGTTTCGTCCGGTTAGAGACTCACCACGGGCTAGCTGCCCCGTCTCGAACTTCGGAAAGTCTGATTACAGCCTTCACATCACTGAAACAACAATCGAAGATGGAGGAAAGTATGTCTGTGAAGTTGAAGGAAAGACTCAGATGGTGAAGGTCATCAATCTCAGAGTTGTAAGAGGTAACAACCAAGAATTGGTCACTTCTTCCTTCTTAAGCCATTGGCTGTCTTCCGGAAGCCTTATCGGTAATATTTTCTCTTTCTTCACAGCGTCATTTTCTCCTGCCATAGTGGTTGAAGGCTTAATAACGGAGGCAAAGTGCGATATCAGTCCTGGGACACAGTTTGTAAGCATTAACTGGAAACAAAATGGCATATTCACAAGTAGAACCAGCCTCTCCGACGTGTCTCAAAGAGATGCGGGACACTGGACCTGTCGGGTTGCATACAACGGTGGGGTAGTAGAGGCAACCACATCCCTACAGGTCAAAGGTGAGTGTTGTTTTAAATACCAGCTTCTTCTTTAAAATAACGTCTGCAACAGTTACTCATCCACCTTATCCGTTGGTTTTCCAGGAATCGTCACCCCTCAGAATGACTCTTCAGTGGTGTACGCTGCTGTGGGTTCTTCCGTCTCCTTGCCCTGTGTCTTTACTGAGGGTCTGATCCCGTACACTGTGATGTGGAGGAGAACCTCCGCAACATCATACTCTAGTCTTCCTCTCCCTGCATCTTTCAGCGCATCTGCTGGGCCCTCAGCATCAGCTACTATACAGAGAGTGGAGGATGGAGATGAAGGGATGTATACATGCTCAGGAATGATGAAGGGATTGAATAGAGGGAGAATTAAAGTACAAAGAAGGATGGAGCTAGTTGTGACTCGAGGTGAGTGGAATAATATATCACGAGAACACTCAGAATACTGGGCGAAGTGGGTGAAGTGGTTTATTATTATTTTTTTTTTCAGCTGAATTTCTATGAACGTGACTTTAAAAATAAGACAAAAGGCCTATTTTCACATAAAGATAGATGCAACTAACCTACATAAAATTGCATGTAGTTTCAGTATAATAATACATAAAATCTTTTTAACAGCTATTCATTTAAAAAAAAGTTATAAATCAGTTATCAGCAATTAAATCATTTTAGAATCGGCCTTTAATCATCAAAATGGTGTTCATTTCTGTTTTGTGGGATTCTGAATTTGCTGAATGCTGAATTTCTCTCTGAATTCTAATGTTTAGTTTCGAGATCCTCGTCATCCAGCGGGAATGGACCCGTGACCCTGACCTGCCATCTCAGCAACTCCAGCCAGATCACCTCTTATGAATGGCTCCGTGTGACTTACGGACCAAACGACACTCAAACGGTGACCTCGGTTCAAAAGACAAAGAGCTACAGGATTCAAGAAGTGACTGAGAAAGATGCTGGTGAATGGGTGTGTCGCTTCTATGGGAAGCAAGGCGTTCTGGGGAACGTGACTTATCAAATTCACGTGATGGGTAGGTAGAGCAGTTATATTACAGTAAAGGAAATGATATTTGCATGAGCATTTACATGCCAATAAATAAAAGCAGCATGCTGTGAATCCAAAAATGATAAAATAGTACAACCCTACTTTTCAGAACATTTGTAGCATCAGGAGCTGAAATTAGAAGCACTGCATTTTCACTGATTCTCCGTTTTGTTCATTTCTACAGGTGCTGTAAAGAGCGGAAATTCAAGTTCTGGCAACAAAACTGCTATGGTGATGGGATTAGGATTTTTGTTCTTGGTGATATTCCTGATTTTGTTCCAGATGTACAGAAACTATCGCCGGGTACATTTCAGTCTTTTTGTCTATTTAAGTCTATTTCAATGCTGCAGGAGACAGCTCTCTAAAATAGATTTAGTGTGAGTTATTTGTAGCTCATTTCTCATATTCATCCCATTTATTCCTCCTTACAGAAGAAGATGATCCTTCTTTACCCTGCAATGGAAACCATCGTCCATCAGGCTGCCACTGAACGAGAGCAAAGAGGGAGGAGCGGGGCAAAAATGGCTGAAGCTTGTGTTGGAGATCCGAAGCCAGTGTGTGTGTAAACGTGTGTGTGTGTGTGTGTGTGTGTGTGTGTTTATGCCAGATGCCTATGTGGATGTGTGTTTTAAATGCAGACAATTGTAGCAGTCCATTTATTCTGTAAATATATCACTGACATATAAATGTATACATTTTGTAAAAACTAATTTTGGTGCAAATATATTTTCAAATATGAATGTAAAATCTATGTAAATAAAGCAATAAGGGGAAAACATACTTTAACAGTTTCTCATGTTTTAATTTAATTTATTTTAGTTTCTTGTGCACAGAAAATACAAGCTATAAACAGGTTTCTTAATATCGCTATACAGAGAAAACATTCTGTACACAAATACATTTAAGTAAATATAATAATAACAATATACACAATGTTAATAAATCTTTCGCAAGCTGTATGTATCTCTCAAATACATTTGACTATACTAGTCATGTTACATAATAATTAAACAACGCCACAGAACTTTATATATTACATTTCTCCAAACACTTTTCACACAACTCTACACATTTAATAGACTACACCTCACTACATTCTATTTCATCTTGCCTCTCTGATGGTTTCGCCTCTGACCTCCGGAGCTCTTTTGTGGTCAGCTTCTTGTCAAGCCAATCTTCATCGTCAAAGTTCTCAAAGTCAAAAACCTCCTCATCATCAAAACACCAGCCTGGCCAGTCCACACTGATGCCCTCTAGGACATGATTGCTTCAAAAGAGAGAACAGGGGTTTATGGGTAAATGTCTTCAAAAAAAGTAAAGGTTATTGTCATTTCTTCCCTACACTGTAAAAAAATGATTTTTCAAAATTGTAAATAAAACGACTACAGTGCTTGCAAGAAAATACTATTTCAGTCTTTCTCCTTGGAAATGTCATGTTCAATTCTGTTACTTGATGTTTCTTTGTAATTATTTGTGAGTAAAAATGGGTTCAAAGTAAATCCTACACAATTCTTTCAGTGCAGTAAAATGCCATTTTTAGCAACAACAAAAAAAGAAAAAGTAATAGTTAATAAATGTATGTTTACAGGCCTTTTAATTAACACTTTATAAATAGTGATCATGAAGTAGTATTTGTTCAAAATGAGAAGAATCAAGATTTTTTTATTTTATTCAATTTTTTTTCACAGACCCCCTTAAAAGACCCTCAGGGGTCCACAGACCCCTAATTGAAAACCATGAATGTGAAGCTTAAGCTACATTCAAATTGTCAGAAATGTCATGAAACTTTAATTTATGTGTTTCTAAGAAGATTGAATGTACATTATCTTCTCATCTGTTCTGAGCACTACATAGCTTTAATGAGTTATTAAAGAAATGTATAATTACTTTAAGTAAAATATCATTGCATGTAATTATTTTTCAGGGGAAAGCCTGACTCCTAATGGTCCTAATGAAGAACTAACTTGTCTATAATGCAAAACCAGAGAAGTAACAAGTGCTTATATATAATTTTAGGACAATGATGTTGTAGAATCTTCTTACAATTTCCTGGGAAGGTTTGAATGTCATAATTTAGAGAGAATTTTATGTAACAGTACACAGATGAATTGTGCGTGTGGGCAGAGAGAAGAATTAACGCACATGAAACTGTCAAGTGAAGCCTCTCTACAGTCATATCTCACAAATGGAACAAATATACTTAAAATGAAAATGATTTTCCACTGGGCAGTTAAGGTTATTTTTAGGGTTAATTTAAAAAGAAAGACTATTTAAATTTTAAGTAAAAAAACATTACAGACACAAATACACATTAGTTTTAAAACTAAGATTTTATGGAGGTCATATTACATATTTATGCACATATTTATCATATATTTTGCGTAATTGAGATTCCTATTTAATGTTAATAAAACTTTTACCCAAAAATATATATATTTACATTTGTTTCATCATTTTCATTTTGATGCTGTGCTTCCTTTATATGTAAAATACAAATTATATTGTATATTATCCAATGTTAAATAAATTACAAAAATCGATTATAACTTACAAATTAATTTAAAATTAAAACAATATGACCTACTTTTAACCTTTGTGAGCCATGTACCTGAACAATCTGTAATAAACTGAAATTTCTGAGATCACTTACCACCACTCCCATAACTTACAGTACTCTTTTTCCATTTAACACAAAATTACTAACTATTAAAATTAAAAATCTATATCTACCTCTTTCAACTGCTGACTATAATTCCTGTTTCTCCCTTCTTCAGTTTTTAATCCAGCTGAATCAGTCTTTGCCGCAACTTCTTCATGAGCTGATTGGCTCGAATCGTTCCGCTGACCAATCAGTGGAGAGTTCCTATCCTCTGCCAGCTGCTGAACTTTACTTTGCTCTACATCCATCAACAGTTCTGTCTCAGACTTGCGCCTAGGGAAAGGAAATAGCCTCACCAACTCAGCTGCCTCAATATCACTATCAGATCTATCAGATACTGATTGGCCATCAGGATCCTCTGTGACTTTTACAGACAGTTTGTCCTGAATGGGAGGTCTTTCTGATTCACCAAACTCTGTCGCACTTGTTGTCTTCAGTGTTTTGTTTGTCTCATTTTCCCTCAAAGTCTCTAAGGCCGCCTGTGATCATCAATAAGAACCAGTTTATAGTTACAAACTATTCAACTATATTTGACATTCTGATACAGTATTCTGCTCACAAACTTAAATACTGCACATAAAGTCTATTCTGGTAAATAAAAGTCACTTTCCATGATACGGTTAGTGTACATTCCAATTACTTTTTAAAAAAGCATTAGATGCACCCATGTTTTTCTCCTCAGAGATTATCAACTAATTTTGATTACCAGAAACATAAATAAAATGTAAATACAGCGTAACATAGGCATTACCTGTTTCCCACATTATACATGCTCCTCTATTACTGCATGTTTTTCCCCAAATACAAAAATATTTAACATCATTAGTTACTTTTTAAAACATGGAGTAAAAAAAGTAAATAATATCATTACATGTTCTCAAATTCAACAAATTGTAATGATGACTGCATTTGTGAGGCTCAACCTTATAGGCCCCTACTGAGTGGAGGCTTAATTGTTGGGTAAATTTGCAACCCTGTTACTTTCAACTCTGTTACTTAATTAATAATAAACAATCAAACAAATATATTTACTTTAGTTTAGTAAATGTAAGTTTAACAATAACTGAGTGACAGTGTAATTTATGCTTTCAACCCTGTTACCCATTCTGGTGTAGTTTATTATTACAATTATTTAATTTCATTTGTTTTGTCTATTTAATTTAGATTTTAATTCAATGATTATTAATAGAATTCCTAGGATCTGTGGTAACAGGGTTGAAAAAAATGAGCAAAACCTCATTTAAAATAAATGGAAAATAAAACTCAAATAAATCCTCTTTCAACTGCTGACTATAATTCCTGTTTCTCCCTTCTTCAGTTTTTAATCCAGCTGAATCAGTCTTTGCCGCAACTTCTTCATGAGCTGATTGGCTCGAATCGTTCCGCTGACCAATCAGTGGAGAGTTCCTATCCTCTGCCAGCTGCTGAACTTTACTTTGCTCTACATCCATCAACAGTTCTGTCTCAGACTTGCGCCTAGGGAAAGGAAATAGCCTCACCAACTCAGCTGCCTCAATATCACTATCAGATCTATCAGATACTGATTGGCCATCAGGATCCTCTGTGACTTTTACAGACAGTTTGTCCTGAATGGGAGGTCTTTCTGATTCACCAAACTCTGTCGCACTTGTTGTCTTCAGTGTTTTGTTTGTCTCATTTTCCCTCAAAGTCTCTAAGGCCGCCTGTGATCATCAATAAGAACCAGTTTATAGTTACAAACTATTCAACTATATTTGACATTCTGATACAGTATTCTGCTCACAAACTTAAATACTGCACATAAAGTCTATTCTGGTAAATAAAAGTCACTTTCCATGATACGGTTAGTGTACATTCCAATTACTTTTTAAAAAAGCATTAGATGCACCCATGTTTTTCTCCTCAGAGATTATCAACTAATTTTGATTACCAGAAACATAAATAAAATGTAAATACAGCGTAACATAGGCATTACCTGTTTCCCACATTATACATGCTCCTCTATTACTGCATGTTTTTCCCCAAATACAAAAATATTTAACATCATTAGTTACTTTTTAAAACATGGAGTAAAAAAGTAAATAATATCATTACATGTTCTCAAATTCAACAAATTGTAATGATGACTGCATTTGTGAGGCTAAACCTTATAGGCCCCTACTGAGTGGAGGCTTAATTGTTGGGTAAATTTGCAACCCTGTTACTTTCAACTCTGTTACTTAATTAATAATAAACAATCAAACAAATATATTTACTTTAGTTTAGTAAATGTAAGTTTAACAATAACTGAGTGACAGTGTAATTTATGCTTTCAACCCTGTTACCCATTCTGGTGTAGTTTATTATTACAATTATTTAATTTCATTTGTTTTGTCTATTTAATTTAGATTTTAATTCAATGATTATTAATAGAATTCCTAGGATCTGTGGTAACAGGGTTGAAAAAAATGAGCAAAACCTCATTTAAAATAAATGGAAAATAAAACTCAAATAAATACATAAACTGGATATAGATTAGTTTGAGCAGCTCCTAAGATCAACAGTCAACACTTTCCTAGTTAGGTCATAAGGAAAAAAATGACTTCATAACAGACCCTGTTTTGTACCAAAAGTAGAAGGTACAAAGTGTTCATTTTGGAAAAAACTAATTACATTTCTTCAGGGTTTGGTTTGTACATCGTGTCACACTGGTGTCGAGTGTGTTTGCTGCAAGAGGAATGCAAGTACCTGAGTCTCACGCAGAGCAGACACCCATGACGCGCAGCTGTCTGGACTGGGTGTGGACAGGAAGTTCACACTGACAGCACAACCTAGATCACCAACCTCCACCAGCACAAACGAATCTACCAGACAGAGCAAAGAGGGGAGAAATAGACACAGTATGAGAGTTAAACTAGTATCATAAAATAAATATTTATAGCAAAAAAAAAAACTTTTCTGTTCTACTTAAGTTCTCTTGAGGTTATAATGTGCACCAGAGTATATACAAATTCAGGCAATATGCATGTTTGAATTCTCAATTGCATCTTTTGTGACAATGTACCAGGACTTGTATGAGCAGGTATTTGACACACCCAGGTGGAGCTATTCTCATAAAGCCCAATCAGAAACCAGCACATCAAGTAATATGCCATGCTGTGCACTGACATGCTAAGAATTATATGCTAGAATTATATGCATAAAACAGAACGATTTGAAAGCTTTTTCCATGTGGAAAATCAATATGCATTTTGAAACTGACTGGTTGTGTGTAATGCATTCTGTGTCTTCGTGATTTTGCTACAGTGTATTGCACTTTTAGGTTTCTGTCTTGTGGCATTGTTTTTTTGTACCTTCATCATTATCACTTTAATAAAAAGCACTGCATTTAAAGTTCTCTGAGACTCCCTTTGTTACATTACAGTATACATACAGAGATTAAAATTAAAAATTTCTACAAGCATTCAAACAACATACTATGCATATAAATAACATTGACTTATACTAATATAACTGGTGCATCAATATATGATAATATACAGTATAGGGCATCAACCAATGCTATTTTTTGTTTAATGTTTTATTATTACACATTCTTGTATTAGCACAACAATTTGAGTGAAAAGTTGCATTACAACATTAATATGAATGCAATACTTTATTTTTTCTTGTTTTGGTTAGTGACAGCAGCACTCGAGCTACATAAAGTTTAAGTAAAACCAGCATAATTTAACAATGTTCAAACATCTTGTTCTTCAATGAAATTAAAAACATGACATTTTGTAGGAGTTTGAATGATCAACGTCACAGATTTGCTTATTTGTTTAGTGACCTAAAAAGGGGGGAATTCCTAAACATTTAGTTTTTAAAATTATTTATAATCCTAAAACTTGTTTATGGTAAACTATGCTTATTTCCTGGCCTAAATAAAAATTTGAACCTAGATTTTCAGGTTTCAGACTTTTGGACCCCATTGCATATGGTAAGCACTCTAAGACAAGTCAGAAAAAAATTTGTTAATATAAAGCAATTGATTTTACTGATAGTATTTTAAATTACACATTGCATTGTGTTTTAGGGTTGATACATGTTCTTAAACTTAACTGATAATGTCCTGGCAGAAAATTACCTGAATGTTCTCTGCAGATTTTTTTTTTTCTCACAGTGTGGTGCATATGATAATATGCATGTGATGTATCAAATGTTTATCGTACAGTTTAAAGTATATAATATATATATAGATTTTAGAATGTGTTTAACGCTTTATTTTGGCATATTAAAACAAAAATAGTATTACCAGGGCATGAAAATATGGCCCATACGCATTAAACATGCCATAAGGTATAACTGCCCTATCATACTGATGTGAGCCCAGTTTAAAACATTCTGTTAGGCAGGTGAGATTGTAAAATGTTGGTGTTAGTGGTCACACTCACATCCATCTTTGAGCTCAATGCAGTATATTCTCTCCAGAGGCAGAGGAGGGCGCACTACCTTCAGCTTGTCGGATTTCTTCTGCATTTTGGTCATCAGCAACACATCAGTGAAGAGAAGGACCACCAGCTCCTAACATAACCAGAAATAAATGCTGAAATTCTGAGGTCAATACAAAAATCATTCACCTTGTTTGTCTTTTCACTTGCCTTGGTGTCCTTTCTTACTTTGACCTTCAAAGTTTCTTCCATTAGTTGCTTCCGTATGACGTTTGGTCCCACCCCCCTCACCGGGCTCATCAAATTAAAGCAGCAGAACTCACGAACGTGCTGTTGTTGAAATCTTTCTGTTAGACTTTTTTTTATAAGCAAAGCATGTTCAGTTTATGTGTATTCAAGATGAATTTTTTTTTTACCTTGTCTATTTCTTCACTCAGACCTTCTATCTTGTATCCCTCTATCCTTTGAGCAGCGACAGAAAGGGCCAGAGTATCATCTCTCAGTTGCATATAGTTATTGATAGATTCCAGAAAATTATTGACACTGTTCAACTGCAGGAGAAAAACAGTGAGTGAGAAGAGAGTGAGTGAGAAGAGAGCAGATCTTTATCTTTAACTTCAATGATAGAATAAAGACTGAGCAAGCAGTTCATATTCGAGAGAGAGAGAAAGAGAGAGAGAGAGAGAGATTGCAAAGATGATAACAAAGGCAATGCAGCTCAAGAGTTTGAAATATCACACCATGAAAGGATTGTCAAACTAAAAAAATTTTTTTATTTAATAACTAATGTTGTTTTCATAATGCCCTTAGTATTTGTTTTACATAGTACAAATGAAATTTACAGTGTATGACGTGATTCATCACCATTGTGTCACAGTCTCACCATTCTTTCAAGTGCGTTTTTGGTGGGGAGGTCTTCTGTGGTCTTCTGAACAGCTTTCAGCAAAAGAGGGTACTTGGTGATTCTCTGGTGTGGTTTGGCCTGCATATCGCCCAGTCTCATTCGCCCACACTGTGGATGATTCTCCACCCACTGCAGAACAACATCAAGACAATCAGGAAAATCATGCATGCACATATCTTCATGCAACACATTCGATCGTAATCTATAGCTCATCTGTTGTTTGAATTGTGCATTTTAACTCATTTATTGTTGAAACTTTTTTTTTTTTTTTTGCTTAAATGATCACATTAAATGATTAAATTATCACACATTAGCACGGTGATTTCAAAACTGACATTCTATATGTTGATTTTCATTTTACTGTACAGCTAGTCAATTAAATAGAAATTGAATGAAGCAATTTCGGGGCTTAATGTGCAGTTATTTCAACTATGTACCCTTCAGGAAACAGCCCACCCCCATAACCTACCACTACAGTCAAACCACCACAAAGGCAAGCAATCTCATAGTCATTTCTACCCTGCTGACTTTGCATACTGTCCATTGGTGCAAAAAACATTGACTGGGGAACTTGGTGTGGTAAACATTTCAACTGAAATGTGGAAAACAAATTCACACCTCACTACCCATTTTTATGTCTATTTTTGACCATTTTTTCCAGCCTTAATTTAGCTTCAGGATTTTTTTTTAATGCTGCATAAACTAACATTCTGTGTTTCCTTTTTAAGTTTAAAACATTTTCAAAACTTATCAAACATGTTCTGCACATTAAGATCTATTAACCTTCATGTTCTGTTTTGACCTGGAGAGGATTTCCCGAAATTCCCGAGTATTTTCCCCATTGATCTGAGCTCAGTTCTTGAGCGAACATTGCCAAAATATTCCACAAATATTCCTTTTTTCACTCAAAAACTGCATAAGCCCAGTCAATGAGGTCTACGACCAATCGGTTGCAAAAATAAATAAAAAACCTGTGCTAAATGAGAGAAAACAAGTTTACAAAACAGTTGAGTCCAAGATTTTTTATTTTTTTTTATCACACTGAAATACCTGAACTGAAAAAGACAACATTGCAAATATTAAACAGGGGAGCAGTTGGGGGTTCGGTGCCTTGCTCAAGGGCACCTCAGTAGTGGTATTGAAGGTGGGAGAGAGCGCTGTACATTCACCCCCCCCACCTACAATCCCTGCCGGTACGAGACTCGAACCCGCAACCTTTGGGTTACGAGTCCGACTCTCTAACCATTAGGCCACGACTTCCCCTATATATATATACCCCAATAGAATAATTCCCTGCTTTCAACGTAGAAATATGATCTGCAGTACCGTAAGATAAGTGTGAAATTGTGGGTTTGTGTTAAGCTGTCTCCGAGTAAACTCCACATTTCTCTCCTCTTCCAAACAGTATTCAAAGTATGCAGGAAAATGGTCAGGAAACTAGAACAGATGAAAAATGAGGTAAAAAGTAGAGGGGGTCTTAGGCAATAACAAAGGTGGATCTATTTTTAGCTTTATTGCTTATAATTTAATATACAGTCGTTGTATCATACCTGCAAACATCCTGCCTCAAGTCTGAGAGGGTCAAAAGGGCTTCCAGTGAGACGGACCTCTTGTAACATTGGATATATCACTTCATGCCAAAAAAGTCGATGTGCATCAAGGATAGAAGGAAGATTGGAAAAGAGCATTGTGGGGCTGACCTGAAAAAGAAAGAACGAAAGAAAACAAAAGAAAAGAAAAAGAAAGAAAGAACAGACAGTAATGGAAAAAGATTAATTGATACAGGTTGTGTCGCCCACACGCTCTACACCAGAGCAAAATTATTTTCCATCTTGTCCGTACAAAATGTTTCCATTTGTGACATCACCAGTAATGCTCTAGATTATACAATGAACAGAATGAGTGATCTCAGACAGATGACAGTGAACGGAACATTATTTGACCGCACTTCTGCCGTCACATACAGCTGTGCAGTCCGTCTGCCTGCCATTTAGATATGCTGAGTATGTAACTCTAGAAGGTCAATTCAGAAGAAAAAGGTTCCACGTAAACATGTGAAAGACGAGACGAGATGCACATACTTCTTGAAGAAATCCATATCTGTGACAGTGTGACAGTGCTGCCATCACGAGCTGTGCAGAAATGAGAAAGTGCATTAGCCATAGCTTTAGCAACAGTGTTACATGCATCACTTATTAAATAATACATAAAAAATGCATGAATGAAAATACAAAGGACTAAGGAACAATGTGTTAAAGAACATCTGCACAGCATACACATATTATTATTCTAATTTTTGTTGTTATAGTGAATTGATTGTCTTATAAATTATAATAAATCCATAATGTTAAAAAACTGTAACGTTATGACATACTTCTTTGGCAATAGTGAGTTTGTTGATGTAGCTAAGCTCAGTATTCAGAAGCTCCCACAGCGCCTCCTGCTGGTGTCGCTGGGTTTTTGACATAGACTACAAATAGAGACAGAGAGAAATAGAGAATGTCATAGAACATGCAACATAATTTCCGCTGTCTTCTCTGTTCTGACTGATTTTTATTTTTTAAATAAATTAGTACACCTTCTTATTGAGCATGATTCTGTGTTATGCTTTCTGCAGACGTCATAATCACCCAACCTGTTTTGCAACCATTACGGAATGTAAAACGTAACTATTTTTTACAAGGTGACGATTTCATATTAATTCATATGATGTTATTTATTTTGTATAAATGCTATAAAATGTTTTTATAGATGTTACAACTTTAAAACATAAGATATAAAACATAACAGTCAGTGGGGCATAAGCAGATCATATAAAAGTAGGCTATAAATGATTTTACGAATTCATACGAATTAGCCACCGAATTGGGCAAAACGTATACAAGTAGGTCCTAACAAACTGCCATGTGGAGGTATTGGCGAGAAGGCCAAAAAATTGAAAAGCATTGTCCCGTTCAGGGGTTCCGTAGAAATAGCCTATGTCGGATTTTGGAAGTTACAAAAGTATTTCCCCCCTCCTATTTCTCTCTGTTACCTCATGAGAGTGCACTATGTCTGTCCAGCTCTTTTCCAGTGTTCTTTCAGTACCTCCCTCCCCCCATGTCCACTTCAGGTCCGCAGGTATGTTGAAAGAGTCCAGAACCTGTTTCAGTGCGTCCACCTGCCCCTGGACAGCACCCGATCGTTCCTGGGACAGAAATTGGAATAAAAGAAATGTAATCAGTCAGTTGTCTATGTAACCTATGTACCTATGAGCTATGTACTCGGTTCAGGCAAAAAATGAATTACCTCAAATGTGCCATTTTTGTCAGACACTCCCTGGCTAAAAAGTGCCTGCTTTAATGCAACTCTGCTCTTCACCCCGGCAGATGTTCCCTTGCTCACTGTAGAAAAGTCCACAGCTGTCCTCTGCTTCTTTTTCTGACAAAACAAAATGGTTAAATGTGACAAGCAGAATTGACAGAAATCAGCTCAAGCCTGATTAACCCACGTTTTTTGAAGTTTTGTAGTCAACATGACTGCACTGCATATTTGTGCTTTTATTAACTATTTAAAAATAATGATAATAAATTAAATATAATCATTTATTTCAATATTTAATTTTTTTTATTATTATTTAATTTTGAGCAATTTGGAGCTCCATATTGGAAAGTTGTACCATACAATATTTTACATAACTTGAACTAACCTTATCATGTCATAAATAGACTATTATTTAATGAGACTTATTGGCCACGACACGCATTGTTTTTAGGGGTCCTGATATCATTTCCTTTTTTGATTTTATCAGCACTTTTGTCGCACCACTTGACTTTGTTGTTTGCACCACATAACAAAATATTTTTGCTAATAAACATTATGCTTAACTACATAAGATTTTCCTTTCAAGAATTTCATCTTTTTATTAGGCCTTTTTTATTCATTATGATATCAGAACCGTAGTACCCCATGACATTTTTGACTATCTACAATGCATTAAAAGTCAGTTTAGATGAAAGCACCTGATGCAAGCATGATCCAGTGCTAAATGATAATCTAGAATGAATTCGGTACCTGGTAGCCTACGGTGTTGTATCTGTGTTTCTCTCGTGCCCTCCGCTGACCGACTGATGGTACTGCAACAAATCCATCAGGAGAGTCTGTGTCTGCCTCTTTCATTTCCTCCCGCTGTCTGTCACTCTTGTCACCGAGGGCAGTTTCCTCTGGGGCCATGATATTGCTCAGTTCCGGTCCTTTTGATGGATTACTGATAGACACAGATAAGATTGCAGTATGAGGATTAATAGTCTAACACATGAATAAGATCAAAGATCAAAACAGGGAAAGTAGAAGAGAAAGTAGTAGCAGCATTGAGTAATGCTGGAAGGACCACAACTGGAAGGAACTGATACCAGGCTTCTGAAGCCCACTGACCTGACCTTTAAATCTCGAAAACATCTCACATCGCATGACCTGACCCAGCATGCCACATACGCGCTTGTTTTTCTATCATGGTGGGTTTTCTATTATTTTCCATTGACGTCTCTTGTTTTTATATTGAGCTAATGATGTCTTCTGTCCCCCTCAATCTGAACCCTCACTTAGATATTTACTATTTGTGTTTATTGTATATTTAATATATATTATATATATGTGCAGTTTAAAACTGTGGTAACTTACAAATACAAAAAAAAAAAACTAAAAAAAAAACTTTTAAATCCAACAGACCTTTTCTGCTGAATTAGCATATTCACTATACTTATTTTAATGAAGAACCATCAAATGTGAAGCATCACACAGGGAATTCTGGGAATGATAGTTTTTCATTGTAAATTATAAGATGACTTGTTCTTTTATTTCTCAAAATACATTTAACAGTATTTTTATCCCCAAAGGAAGTTTTAGTTTACTTCAGGGGACAAATATGTCCCCAAAATGTAAGTAAATCGAGTGGTAACTATATTTAAACACACACACACACACACACACACACACACAATCTGTCAATTTTACAAATTGATTTTTCCGTACATTTCTGCCATATGTACATTAATTGACAGTCACCACTGATAAGCTACCACTAAATATTGTAGAAACTTAATTTGCTGTAAAGTTGCTTTGCAATGATTTGTATCGTGAAAAGCGCTGTACAAATAAACTTGACTTGACTTGACTTGACACACACACACACACACACACACACATTACATGCCAGGATTCCATATACAAGAGACATGCCCATGCACAGACAAGCTGAAGCTTATAAACACACATATCCTCACACGCTAACTCTGATTCATACAATTCACTGTAATTCAGGTGAGCCACGTTTACCCAGTCATGTATGAATCTCACGGGTGTGTGATTCAGGAGACTCACGCACACATGCTCTGGGAAAGATCTGAAAATCCACCCACGTTTGACATCACTTCTGGCAATACACCAATTCTGCTCAGACTCACCGTGTCAACTTTATCATCAGCCATCAATTCAGGGTAAAATACCCTGAACGAACAAACACACACACACACACACGGCCACATACATGCACATAAACTGTTTGCAAATGCACTTTTGTGCTTACACATACAGGCATAACATGGAACATACATAAACACATAAGTCATAACACATATGTTCGAAAACAAATTCAGCATTGGTGAAATAAAAGTAGATTTAGATGCCATTTACATCAGTAAGTCACACAAAGTCTGAAGTAAAAGTAGATTTACAGTGCAGTCTCAGTTCTTTAATTATTTAGATGTGTTTTAGACAATCTCCTTTACCACACACACACACACACACACACACAGTCACTCTCAGTTAAGTCTTCCCCAATAGATACCTGGATTTAACTGAGTCCATTTTCCTCAGTCAGACATCTTTAAGGTGTCTTTCTCTCCCTCTTGTCTTCCTGGATCTGTCTTTCAGAGTCCTCAGTCTCTTTCTATATCATTTGTCTTTAACCCGTCCTTCAGTAACAGGTTGAGCAAGCGAGACCAGATTCTTCAGACTTAGATCTCAGGCATGGCTGCACCCCGAGAAGATAAACCTGATTGGGCCATCAGTGCTTTCTGATGTGATTGACAACCAACCAGCTGTTGATCACGGGTACATAACAACATGTAAAGTTATAATTGTTTAGACAGGGATGATAGGTTTGTGGTTTAGTCCCACAAAGACAAGCATGTACACAAACACACTCATACGCACACACACACACACGCAAACATGCAAAATAAGGAAGAAAGATGTTATTTGGTTACCAATCAGGAAATTAAAATGCTGGGAGGTTTTGGGAGGTGCTTACCCAAGAAACAAACCATCAACATAATGCCATGGTAATATTTAGGTACCTAGATTTGGCTGTATATTTAAAGGTTCTTCCTTTAGAGTGAATCCGATTTTTGAACATTTTATCATCAGTCAAAATCATTGATGTCTATATTACAGGTTGTATGGTACCAGTCAAGCTGTGAAAATGTGCAGCTCAGCTGATTAAAAAAAGGAAGAGAGAGAGGGCCTGAGAAATATCAGACTGAAATAAATTCAGTGGGATAGGAATGCAGAAAAGCAACATTGCGCAAGATCATAACCGACACGCACCAGGACATAATTACACAAGCACCTTCATCAAAGGAAACACAGCTTGTCTAGTGGTTAAGGGTTTCTACACTGTTTTTTCTGTTTATGGGTTATCCACACAGGAATTTTCCATTAACCCTTAAACAGGCAACGTGTACAACAGGATACATATTCTTTAGTCTCTTGTAGGAGGCACGAGGAAGATTTTTTCATCCAATACTGTCATCATAATCATAGTTGAGGTTATTTGGAGAATGGGGGTCACATGACTTGGTTCAAATTTTCTGTGCTTGTTTTGTCAGTTTGACCTAAAGTCAACATGTACACCCATGGGGCTGGACATTCAGAAAATGTAGATGGTGTAGAAATCACAGAAAATACACAGTAATCACAGAAATCACACAAAATACAATGGGGAGCCCCTAGATAAAAAATCTCTCAGAGGGGTGATTTGGGGGGTGGATGGGGATTATAAATCGCATCAAGGGGAGCGGATCCCCTCAGTAGAAATCGCATTCCAGGACAAGGGGCCCTTAGTGAAGAGCCCTATAGGCCCTCCTGGCCTTTGGGCCCCCTGTACACAGTCTAACACATCTGACAAATCTAACAAAAGTCTTCAGGATTATATAAAAATGATATGGTGTTACATAAATTACATTATATGATTGTTCTGTTATAGACTGTTTTTGTTTTGTACATGTAAATACCTCTGCTATCAGCATTAAATTCATCTATACAGTTGGAGGCATTATTGGGTAAATAAGGCCTCTCACAAAACCTATCAAGAACATGCCCCCCAAAAAAAACTAAAAAAGAAAAATAAAGAAATGTAAAATAATGAAAGAAGAATCTCCTGATTTTTAAAAAAGTTTAATACTGAAGACTGGAGTAATGGCAGCTAAAAACTACAGGAACATTGTTTTGACTGTATTTTTGATCAAATAAATGCTGTCTTGGTGAAAAAGAAAGAAAAACAACAAAACAAAAACCTTACCCAAAATTTGGAACGATAGTGTGTGTGTGTGTGTGTGTGTGTGTGTGTGTGTGTGTGTGTGTGCGTGCGTGCGTGCGTGTGTGTCACCTGGTATTACATTATGGGGACCAAATGTCCCCAACAAGGATTGTAATACCAGTAAATTTGAGGAACATGAGGAATCAAGCAAGCTTATAAATCATACGAGAATGACGTTTTTTGAAAATCTAAAATAGCAGTAAGTTTTGTGTGGGGGGTAGGGTTAGGGTAAGGGGATAGAAAATACAGTTTGTACAGTATAAAACCATTACGCCTATGGAATGACCCCCATTAAACAGAAACTAGTGTGTGTGTGTGTGTGTATGTCTAATCTGGACATGTTATTAAGAGATGTGTGCTATAAGGAGAACTGAACTGGGAGAGAATATGCATGATTATGTTATATCCATTACATATATGAAAAATTACAACCCAAACCCTAACCACCCCATCACCCTTGTTCAGATACATTCACTAACAAAACTAACAAAAGCACTAACAAAAGCCTGGATAACATACAAACATATAACATAGAACATATGCATGTTCATAAAAAATTTAGTGTGAAATCCTCCAACAACTGGAAATATGACATGGTCAAAAATTCAGCTGTAGACCCACTTCCACTCTTAAAGGAATCCAATGGAAATTGGTGAAAGGTTAAGTTCTCTATTAATGCCCTCTTCTCCATTCTCTTCCAACAGCGTCAGTGTGAAGCACTTGTGTCCTGTGAAAGGAACCTGTTCTCGATGTTGTCTGCACAGTTAACCAAACACATGTCCTTCAGAGTGTCTACGAACATCTGGACGCAGTGACATGGCAAAACATTGCTCCCTCCTCCACTGCCACTGTCACTCCAAACTTTCAGCATCTGGTAGTGGGCATCTTTGCAGTTCCGGTGGTCTTGTTCCGCCCTGTCAATGTTCTGCTCAGAAACGCCAAGCCGACGTACAAGTTCTTTAAATCGTCCAATAGGCACCTCGTCCAGCACAAAATAGAAGAACTCGTGAACTACAAAAGCAAACGTCAGAGAAAGAAATGGTGAGAGACAGACAATAGACGTGAATCATCTTTAAGCATCATTACTTAAGCCTCCAGGGATTTATGTGTAGAAACAAATAAACACAGACATACTTTTGATCTCTCTTGGGACGCAGTCTGGGAGTTTTCCATTTTGTTCTGTCTCGCACGGCTGGTTTGTGAAAGGAACACTCTCATGTATTGTGTCTGGTTGCACTGTAATAATCAGTGTCTGTGAAGAACATTAAAAATATATATTAATCACTTAATAACATGCAGAAAACAATACAATAATCAAAACAACACCAGTCAAATAGGATATAACACATCACATGATCTTGAAGAAACACATGGCTTCCATGAAGGTACTGCAGGTGTCTATGGACTAATAATTATTAAAAAATTTATTTTAAAATGATATATCAGGGGTCTTTAACCATCAAATAAATACTGTTTTTTTTTTACATTTCTATTCACAAAGGATACTAAAAAGTATCACGTTTTTTTTTCATAAACATATTAAGGAGCACAAGTGTTTTCAATAATCAGCATTTTACATCATTTCTGAAGGATCATGTGACACTGAAGACTGGAGTTAACGGCTGCTGAAAATTCAGCTTTGCCATCACAGGAATCAATTACATTTAAAAATATATTCAAATAGAAAACAGTTAATACAGCACCAGTTTAGCATTTATTTATGAAAGACATTCATGCTATTATGGTATTATGTATTTTTGACATTATTTTTTATTAGGGGGTCAATCAAGTTGGCCAAGAGTTCAGACAGAGAGTACATGTGATAGAAATATAAGTATTAGTATTTATCATCAAAGCTGAATCATCTTCTGTGAAAACAGAGCTACAGTAATTATGTGTTTAGAATCAAATATGAATCACTCGCATTGGGAAGATGAATGGTTGTGGTGTCCTTGCCATTGTTTGTCAAACGTCAATAAAGTATTTTACCTGATCTTCGGAAGCAGGTGATGATTTCTGCGATGACAAAGCTTGCCTCTTTTTCTTCCAAAGTCTGATGCCCTCGTATAACATGAACACTCCCAGTGCTATAACCGTGATACATGCACAAACGGGGACCAGTATCTGTGGTAATGTTCCTGAAACATTAATGTGACGAGAAACAAAGAAATTAAAATCACCCCTCAGTATTATAATTTTTTGCTTGAAGACACGTTGCTTTTGGACCATACAGAGACATTTAGCTTAGTCATGGCAAGACAAATTCAAAAGAACTTGAGAGGGGACTTTCCAAGATTACTCATGCTTTCTAAAAAAATGTAATACTAGTTCTCTTCATCCAAACACTCTAAAGCTATAGTTTGCCAACAGTTGTCTGTCTGGCATCCACAATATTAGGAAAGCCAACAGACATGTCTCATATTTTCTCCGTCTCTGAAGGACACACAGTTTTGGATGGATGTTGATGAGTACCAGTGGTGAGCAGTGTTTTTTTTTTATTTTATTTTTTTATTATAAATGTAAATTCTCGTCCCAGTTACACATTTTCCTGGTTAAATAAACATAACTTACACTATCAAAAAGAAAGAATGAAAGAAACCAAATACAATTCTATTTTGTATTTTTACATTAACCCTGTAAGCAATGTTCTGTTTATTAAAACCAAGTAGAAATCTCATCAAGCTAGTGTTTTAAGCATTTTTTTTGTTTTACATTCATTCCAAAATAATAACTATTCAGCTGTTCTGATTAATGTCAACTTTTCGGATAATTAGTCATCAAAGCTCAGTAAATAAGTAATTTCACCAAGCTAATTGCTCACTAAAAAAACCCCACCCATCATGTTCTCAGGACATTTCAAGTTTTATTTTGACGTGACAAATTGGTGATATCTGGAGTGGGTGAGTTGTGTACTTACATTTTAATTAGGCTTCCCATTAATGACATCAGTTTGTTCATTCAGACTGATTAGCGAACGCGTAACACATATAAAAACAGGAGGCGGGATTTATTGCATGAACCAATCATAGCGCGATGGAGGCATAGCCTCTTCTCATGTGACTTTCCCCCATTCATTCTCAATTAATCCCTTACCAAACCCACCGCACGCTTTAAGGATATGTTAAAACTCAATAGGCTTAGGAGAGACAAGAGAGATGCAGCCTCCCACTGTAATTGATGTTATAGTGTTACTTAAAAAAAAATTATAATAATGATTTTCTTTTTAATGTCATATTTAGTAATATTTGCATAGTTTTCTCATCCAATTTTGTGAAGAGGCACTGCATCCCTTGCCTCCTCAGAGGAAATATCACTGACCAGTACTCACCTGGAGGACTAGTTGGGCTGGCGGACTTAACAGGGTTACGAGGTGTGCTGGATATGCACAAGTGTTGACACTCCTCCTGACATCTATAAGGCATAAAGAACACACATGTTGATTATTTTGTCTGCCATGTCTAAAGTTATACAAAAAAAACCAACAACCTAAAATTTAAAAAATATATATATAAAATAAAAAATTGGATAAAAGCGTCTGCTAAATGACTAAATAAATAAAATGACTATAATATCCAAGATGTGTACTTGTATTGAGTTATTAATATTGGTTA